TGTGGCACAGCGGTCGCTCAGGTGCGTACTGCCATGCCAACTCGCCGTGCTGGTAAATTACCCCTTGCCGCGCGGCGACGACGTGGCTCCACGTTCGGCTTGGTTGGGACAACACCCCGCAGCGGGCGACACCACCACACAGTGGGTCAGAAGACCGGCGACGAAGTGGACGAGGCGGGCGAGTCTGCCGCCAAAAAGCGACGCGCCGGGCCGCCCTCTGGCGGACGCCCGGGAAAACGGATGACCAGCGGGGGCCGCCGAATGTCACACACACACACACACACACACACACACTCTCTGCGCACACGCACCCAGCTGCAGGCGGCGTGGCGTTCAAGCCCGCACGTCAACTTAATCCGAAGGCGGGTTGGGGAAGGGGTGGGGGTGGGGTAAAAGGGGGGGAAGGAGAAAGGGAGAAAGAAGAGAGAGAGGGAGAGAGAAGGCAAGAAAAACTGCACGACGCCTAGAGCCAGCCAGGAGGCCGGCCCATCTATACGAAGGGCCCAACTGCAGCACTGCAGGGGGATTGTGCACAATAAGGGCACGTTGTAAATCAGCGCCGCACACACACGCACACACACACACACACACACCTGCAGCGAGTGGTGACGCGTGACGACCGTAAAGGTGCAGGGGTGGGGGGTGAAAGGGGGTCCATAAGGGAAGTTGGCCGGACTGCGCGCCCAGTTTTACAGCGCGCTACAATTCAAACTTTTTGATTCGCCAAGTTTTTTTTTTACGACTCGCCGCGCCGCGGTGCTGCGCTGCAACGACGCGCGCGGTGGCGGCGGCGTGCCCGTGGCGTGCCAGTGGCGTGCCAGGGTGACGAGGGTCAAGACGAGCAGCAGACGGATTCCGAGAGTCGTCGCCCCGTCTCTCTCGCACTCATGGGGCGACCCGTATGGGTGCGAGAGAGACAGAGCGACGACTCTCTCGGAATCCGTCTGCTGGACGAGGAGGACGAGCAGGGCGAGGAGCAGTAGGAAGCGGCAACTGAGGCGGAAACCAACTAGAGAGTCTCGAGCAAGGACGCTCTGTACACCTCTCTCTCTCACACACACACGCAGGACGGCGTCCCTTCGAGGCGCGCGAGAGAGAGACAGAGGCAGTGAAAGAAAAGACTCGCGGTTATCAGTGGCGGTATGACACCTGTTTCCAGTGGGCTGACCCAACACTTGTCTTACAGTGTGGGGTCGGGAGGCGGTCGGGTCGGCTTGGGGGATCGCGCGCCTGGCAGTGTGGGCGCAATCCCCTGCACAAGCAGTAAAGCCCTTATCACCCGCCAAGCCCTGCAGGCCTGCCGCCTGCACTGCAACCCTGAGCCTGCTCGGGGACTTCAATAAACACGCCGCTCGCCGGTCAACGAGGATAAAATCAGGAAGGGAGGCGGAAAAAAGCGACAGAAAAGCGAGAAAAGTGAGGAAGCGTGTCGCACGGCCCGTCAGAGTGCCGACGGGGCGGACAAAAAGAAAGACTTCGTTTCATCTCTGTTCGATAGGCTGAATTCGATAAGCTGGAATCGATAGTACGATCTACCTACAACCGAAAGCTGTAAAAACTGACCGAAATACTGTCGATGTGTTTCCTACAGGGTTTTCGAGGCCACTTCCGACGAGCGGTCATCGCGTCCCCCTGCGACGGCCCCTCGGGCCCCTTCCGTCACGGGCCCAGCAGACTGCATCGCTCTGTCGCATGGGACGGCCCGCGAGTGCGAGAGAGACAGAGGGCCCCACGCGGTGACGCGCATGGCGCTGAATAGATCAGCCGGTTAAAAGGTTGCGCCGCCACTCTAGCGCTGCGTCGTTACGACGTCGTTCGGTATAAAAGAGAATGCAGCGGGTTTAGCATACTCCTCCGGCACTTTATTGTCACCTCTCTCTTTCTTTCTTTCCCCCGTCTTTCTTCCTCGCCTTGCAGGGCCCTGCAGGGGGTCGCGGGATGACGCCCGAGGGGCACGAGCCGGGCGGCGTTACTCCGTCCTTTAATTGCGTGACAGCCCCGAGCTACGCCGTCAATTTTCCCGAATCTGTTTGGCAGTCTCTTTGAATAACGCGGACGCGTCGCGTGAACCTCCGACGACCCGCGCGGCTTTGCTGGTCCGAGTGGCCGAGTCCGTGTGTAACTGGACGGACCCGGTGGGCGCGCGAATACCCCCCCCCCCCCTCCTGAGGATGAGTAGCGCAAAGAGGGCGCAGGCGGTACGTGACGGCGTTTAGCGCGAACCGGTCCCGAGAGTGGTCCCTGCTCCGTCCGCACGGCGCCTTCAAACCGTCGCACACTCTGTCTCTCCCGCACCCCTTACGGGGCGCCCCACGAGTGCGAGAGAGACAGGGCGGCGAAAGCACTGTTCGGAGTCACACGGCTGCTGCAGCGGCGGACGCGAATCCCCGGGCATGCGGTCCCCGGAAGGGACGGCACTGCCGCGTCAGGCCGCCGCCGTGGGCGCGGCAGCGAACCGCACCGCCATCCGCGGATATTCACCCCGTCAAGGCCGCGAGTACGGAGTGGCTGACCCAGTTCACACACACACACACACACACACACACACACCGCACAACAAACGAACACGCGCCAAATATCAGGCGCGCGTCTCTCGCAGGGCCAATGCCCTCTGCAAGGTGCGGTGAGTCAAATCCGAACTCGGACCGGTGGCGGATGGAGGGAGGGCGGGGTCGGGAACGGCGGCAGTTCCTTGTCACTCACCGTCGCACCGTGACGGCCAAGGCCCGGCCAGCCAAGCCAGCGCCGCCGAGGCACGCCGAGGTGTGCGCGTGAGAGACGCTCGTTTGCGTCGCATCCGCCGCGTGCCCACTGGCGGTGCCCACTGGCGGTGCCCACTGGCGGTGCAGCGCGCTCACCCGCCGCCGGTGTTGTGCCACGCCGACACCGGTGGGTCCCACCACTGGTGGCCCACCTACCGCCAAGCCGCGCAACAGCGTGTAAATTATTGAATTTCACGCGCGACTGTACTGTTCGATTTATCGAAGAGGAAGAGCGACACGTGACTATCCACCGGAACGTTCGCGAGTAGAGAGCCCCGAATCGTGGCCCGCGAATCACAACACAACAACTCTTCTGTTCGATTAGTCAAAAACGCAGAGCGATACATCACGTGGATGTCCGGTGCGGAACGTGCGGGACGCAACGCGTCTGTCTCGAGCGACTGTACAGTTCGATACATCGAAAAGGCAGAGCGGTACATGAGGCGGGCGGCGCTTTGGAAGCCGTCCAACGCGGGCAAGACAGACGCGCTGCGCAACAGGTTAATTACACGACGAGAGAAACACACGCGGCTCTAATTGCCAGAAAAACTCTTTCCGATGGCTGGGCACGCAGCTGCAAGCAAATCAGACGCCGCTTCAGCGCAACAAAACGCACGCGGCGCGCAGTGGCATGTATAAGCAAAGCCGAGTGAAGGGGCGCGCCGCGGGACAGTATGAGAAATAGCTCGTCACATTCCTTCAGGGTTTCAGCCAACGACTGAAACGCCAGATGGGAAGCAAAGCAAAGTTCAAGAGTTGGCTCTCACTACGTTTCGGCACCCCAAGGCTTAGGACACCTTAGCAAGATGGTGAAAAAGTACAGGAAAATCAAGAAATATCCGACGATTTCGGTCAACTTTTGAATCTTAGCTACCAGTTGAGGAGGGGCCGGACAGTGCGCTATGGGACGTTGAATATACACTGCGCCGGCTTCGCACTCGAGCAATAATGTTGGAAAAAGATTACCGCCAAACAAGCGCGATTCTTAGAAATATGTGTGACCGAAGTAAGGTAGGTCAGATGTGTCATTCTTTGAATTTCGTTGTGTAAGTAGGGCCCTACTTGCATGTGCACCACACGCCGAGCCTGGCCTCCTGGCCTAGCCCACGGAGTGTCACGCGCACCCTATGGAGATGGACAGTACAGATTCAGTAGGTTGATTGATTCATAGAGACAATGCAGCCGTCAGTCAAAAGCTAAAAAAGGGAAGCCTTGATGCAAATAAAGGTGCAGTGTTTCGAAACGTGCAAAAGTAATGACGGCGAGAAACTTTTTCCTGTTCAAACCGATCCCTTGCAGTGCGGGGACTTGCTGCGGTTTATTTTCACTGCCAATTAAACACGGAGCTGCACTGCAAGTAGCCACCACAAAGTCATAAACGGCCGTCATCGAGTCCTGCGTCATCGTCTCGCGGTTTCCCCCCGCCATTTTCCCTCTCACTGTGCCATCGCAAGGTCCGTTCCGAAATGTCCCGGTTATGTCCTCTTTCGCCTTACTCCCAGATCGCGTCTATGATAGGCCCGTCACGGAAACACGCATGCACACACAGCCAGCCTGCAGATGCATTCCGGTTGAAATGATGACAGTTAAAAAGCGCATCGTAACTTGGCGATAAAGGATCGCGGCACGTCCCGCAATGTGTACTCGATCGCTAGATCGGGAACACGACACCGTATTGTTATGGCGCCCCAAACGAGCCGCGCTATTTTTCATGGATATCCCGCAGTAATCAGGGACTGCAAAAAACTTGAGCCTAGGGGTAAGCTGAGGAGGAAAAGTACAGGGTGAGAAAAGGACACTTTCCTGTGACATACAGCAGACATTTAACATCCATTCGACAAGGATTTCACACTTGGATGTTCATGTTCAGTTGAAACAAGTGGTGGAAGCATGTCCCCAAGTCAAGATATAAGCTCCAAGGTGTACTTTTCTTACCCTTTACTTTTGTTTCCCCAGCGTACCTCCAGCCAGTTCCCCTGCTTTGGCTCGGAAGACATTCACACCCACCCATAAGACAAGCTGCGGAAATCCTAGGCGAGCTCAAGGCTCGCGTCGCAGCCCAGCGGCACCGGAACGGCACCGCACCCCATAAAACGAGCCATGCGATGTGGGCTCAGAAGTGCAGCGAAGGCGTTCGCTCATTTTATGTACGCCTTGCAGAGACGGCCGCGCAAACAAATAATGAAATGCCCCGCTGGACGCGCTCAACGCGCGGCGCAGAAGAACAAGGGTACTCACTAGGTCTAGGGGAAGGGGGTTCTTCTCGGCCTTGGTCCACGCTCCGAACGTCCGAGTCGCAGTATTCTCCTGAAAGCAGAAAAGCCACACTTTTAGCACTCGAGTCCTTTGGCCATCATATGTGTAAGGCAAGCGGGTGGCCCAGACGCTGTTCCAGTTTTTATAGGCGGCCGTCGTCGGTACCACTTGCTCCAGCCCAACGCGCGCGCTCACTTCCCACATATACAGCCCAGAGAAAGGTTTTGCACGTCCTGGGTCAATACCACGCACATTGGAGTGCAACCACCCGACGGGTGTGCATAAAGTGCTCTTTATCAATCATCCTTCCGAGGAAGCACACACTGGCGCCCCCATTTACGACACAACATAAGAGGGCGAACAATGAATACGTAATGAACGCGTCTCTCGTCGTAAACTTGCGCCGCGGAAAAACAAAGTTGCAGCGACCTTAGAATAATTCGCCAACTATTTCCATCTTGGCAGTAATTGCAATCAGGATTCAAGATATCACGACGAGACAGCTTTAAGACCCCCGAATAAGCCAGCGAGACGAGACGTCGTGCTTCACCGAGCCATCGCCCACCCTCCTAAACATGCACACCAGCACACACACACATTCACTCACACATGCACACATACAAACACACCTAAACAGGGTCGCAACCTTTCCATTTCCGCGGCAATCGGTCAGCCAGGTGCTGTAAACGCACAATCCACTCGAAACGCACTTAGGCGTATATAGAGGAATGCACTTGGCGTGGCGATGTTTACCTTACAACAGTGCACGCACATCCGCCAATAAAAAGGTGCACATCAGACCAAGACCCGGGCCATCAAAGTGCCTGGCTGCCGTTCCCACCGAGTTACACATGCGGAATACAATATCCGCCTGCAGGGTCGTTTTTCTTATTCCGTATCAAGGATTTTCAGGTTTTCCTAACTTGAACCATTCATTGGACTGATTTGAAAAAGCTTGGAGCACAAATACCAACTGTCTGCTCTTCACTTTCATGCAAGAAAATACGAAAAAGAGTGGTCAGTAGGGCAAGTTTATCCCTTCCAAAAATGAAATTGTCGCGAAATGAACAGCATTTCTCGGAACGGCAAAAATTTCGTCACTGGTTGACAAAGAAGAATCCGGCTTTCAAAAAAGCTGGAATGCGGGACGTCTAGCCGCGCGGATCGTCTCCTGGTCCGTCCGATCGCCGCATCCCAGTCGGACAGCGCCAGCGTAGCCAGACGGCCGGCCTCAAGACTAATTATAAAGTCGTTGAGAAAAGTTTTACGGGCGCACAGTGGCATCATGCAGTGGTACCGACCCACCGGGCCGCCGGCCGCCGCCGGCCCTCTGCAGTGCACAGCGCCTTTACAGCCTTTATGAATATTCGCGTGCTCCCTCGGGCTTGGCCAGACTGTGTTACCAGGTGCAAACTGCGCAAACTATCATTTTGCGGCTCTGCCATTACGACGCGCAGAGGCAGTGCGGTTATTTGGATGCCATTATTGCTGGTCAAAAAGACTGACGGATTTGCATTCTGTCTGTCGTTGCACTCGTCACTGTCGATCAGCATGAGAGAAGAGTGCTGTCTTTGGTCACCAAGACCAGTAAGACCAAATCGCGGCCCAAGAAGAGCTACACGTGCTAATAAATATCAGAATAACAGGCTCCAGTGACGTGTCGGCCATCCAATTCCGGCCTGCCTAGCCTGCCTAGCCTGCCTCGCCTTTCTAAAAATGATGAAAAAGCGAGGCTAAGGGTAATGATGGCGGTTAATTACATGTGCATGATTCGATCCATCGCGAGCGGAAATGGCCGCCACAAAAACGCGTAACGTTGGACGAACCTATCAGCTCGCTGCACGGCCTGCGCGGTCTGCACGGCTACTGCACAAGCGGCCTCCGCAAAATAAATAAACCGATGGATGGGTCGTGTTTAACGCGGTTCTCGTTGAGCGCGCGCGCAGGCAGGCAGTCGGGTACAGGGCCAAACACCGTGCTACAGACTGCAGAATGTATCAAGCCATGGAGCTTGGTCCGCTCGGGTCGGCGAAGCCAACGCCTCAGAGACATGTGTCAAAGGTTCATCCCGCCATTGACTGGCCAGCCGGACAGGGGGACGGCAAAAAACGAGAGCAAATAAAAACTGTAACAAGACGGACCCCCTTTTAGACGGAACGGAAGCGGTAGAGGTTGCTTCATTCATGCAAAATGCACAAAAGAGCCAAGTTGTGCGTAAAAGGTGTCGCTGTCTGGTTCTCCTCTTCCTCCTCCCCTCCGCGGCCTACTTTGTCTCCGAGTCGTAACTCATCTCGATGACCGACGCCCCGCTGGTCAGCAGACCGTCAGCAGCGGACTGATTCCGAGATTCGTTTTCGTCGCTGTCTCTCACGCAAAACATTCGCTGCGCCAGTGAGTGTGAGGGGGACAGAGCGACGAAACCATCTCGGAGTCAGTCTACAGGGCGGCCAAAAAAACACGGCCAGGCCAACGCCATTCAACAGGCTGGACGAGGGGCCTCGCCCAACCACGCCGACATTGACGGCGGACCAACACCCCTTCCAATAGGGGGCTCTTATCAGTCCGTTTTCAGCCTAAATGACAGCATCAGTGACGTCTCCGTGGAAGATATACAGAGGACTGACGGATAATCATCTTCTTCAACGGTGACAGTTGGCGTGGGTAAAACGGCTGCCCTCGAAACAATGACGGCGATGCTCTCCAAAACGGAATCAAACGAGGCGACGTGTCGGGTGTCTCGGTGTGGGAACCGCGCCGCGCGACACCGATCCAAATGAACACATTGCCCCACGCGAGCCGCGACAGCGTCAGGACAGCGGACTCAAGGTGACTCGGCGTCGTAATCCACGCTGTCTGGGTAATCGGCGCACAAAAGGCTCTCCACTGCTACCAAGACGACGACCACGGCACCACCGCCACCGCCGCCGCGGCGCAATCCGTTACGGAAGCCCTTTCAGTCCGATTCCGGGACCCCTCATTAGGCATCAGACTGTACCTGTGAGCTGACCTTGTCGCAAATATGCAAATGAGGAGGCGACGAAAAAAGCAGAGCAACAGGGTGCAGAGAGAGAGAGAGGCAAGAAATGAAAGGAAACCGAAAAGTTCGCAAAGAGGCAGGCAGCTCAGCCGTGTCCAAACACGGCGGCCACTGTCATGGCATGCCAGTGCGCTGCCCTGAGTCGAGGGGATTGATCCGCGTTCCGACAACTCTCCCTCCGACCGACGGGGCGACGGGGCGACCAGGAGACGCGGCCACCCCTTCCTTCCCCGGGACGCCCCGCGCTTCCTCGCCCGGAAATGTTATCATCCCCAATAAAGAAAGATTGTTTGGAGTCGGGGCGGACAGTCAACAGAGACGTCATCGCGACAAATGAATGCAGCGGCAGCGGCGCACACGGCGTTTTGGCGCGTGCATTCATCGGTGTTCCCCTCTCGCTCCCTCTCGGGCCTAATTTGTTGTCGCCCGCGACAATGGAGGCCGAGGGGGAGAGAAGAAGAAGAATGGAACGAGGGGGCAATAAATTAGGACGCAGAGAGAGAGGGAGGGAGGAGTGAAGGGGATGAGCCAACACACCCCCCGCGGGGTTCTGACCCACTTCAAAGTGATAACATAATTTGATACATTTTAATGAAAATGCGTGTACTGTACCTTTCTGCACACCGTCTCGAGGAACGGACCCGGGAAAGGGGAGGGGGGAGTACAGAGAGAGAGGGGGGAAGAGAGGGGGCTTTTAGCATGAACTCTTCTCGGCCCCGTCATGCAACTGCAAGGCGACGCCAGGCGAGGGGGGAGGGGGAGGAGTTTACGAGCGTCCATGAAACAGTCCCACGATGACTTCCAATCCATAAAATGCGATTTCTGAGCGCGATACTTTGGAGCAGACAGCACTGTGTGTGTGCGTGTGTGTGAGTGCGAGTGCATGAGGCACCCAGGCAGCGGCGCAACTGGTTCGAATCGAGCCGCCCTACCCTACGCCAAGAAGCTACGCGGCGCCGACCGTCCAAAAGGAGAGTCCCGGGTTCAAATCCCGGCGATCGCTCGGTATAATTATTTTTCCTCCCCGCTTTTATCTTTTCTGTGGCAACTGACTGAATAATACTTCCGCCTGTCTGTCTGTCTGTCTGCCTGTCTGTCCGTCTGTCTGTCTGTCTGTCTGTCCGTCTGTCCGTCCGCCACCCCTAGGCCGGTGCACTGCACTGCACTAAAGACCGCAGCCACATTCGGCAACAATGAGGCAATAACACTTTTATGCGGCCGCACCGCTTCCGAACATAGCGTGCTCTGTCTCTCTCGCACCCAGACGGACCGCCGCATGGGAGTGAGAGAGAGACAGAGAGCGGTGCTGTTCGTAAAGTGTGCCCGCCGCGCCGCACTAGCCAGTCACAAGGCGCTTGTCGGGCCGCCCGAAACGACTGTGGTGTGACCAAAGGAAAGCCACACACACACAACATGGCGCTGTATGAAAAATCGCGCACAACCTTGAAATTCCCCGCGAGCCAGCACGCGCCTCTGTGACGGCAAAACTAGTTGGACTCGATTACCTCCATCCCCCCCTCCCCTACCAGTGCAGCGGCTGGATGCATTGGACCCTCGTTAGCGAAAAGGCCTCGGTGATGGATGCCGGTGACAAAGTTGCCCCACATGACTCTCGTCATCGTTAGGCCCCGGCGGACTGATTCGCTCTGTCTCTCTCGCACCTACACGGGACGCCCCACGAGTGCGAGAGAGACAGAGCGACGTTTGTCTGCAGTTCGCCCCGGTCGGTCACGCCAAGTCCGAGCCGAGCGAGATGGACACACCGGCCAGAGAAGCGGGGGCAAGCGCTGGGCAGCGCGCGGATCAAGATCAGACGTTTTGCTGGTCTCCAGTTCGGGAGAATTTGGTGGTGAAGGTTTTGGGATCGAGGTGCACGGTTCAACGAACAAACAACAGCCAAAGGGATGCACACACGGGGGGCTGGTCTCGAGATCTCAAGAAGAAGAAAAAGAAGAAGAAGAAGAAGAAGAAGAAGAAGAAGAAGAAGAAGAAGAAGAAGAAGAAGAAGAAGAAG